CCTGATCGGGTTTATTAATATTCATACCATTATCTCGAAAAGAAATTCAGAACTAGTCTAGAGCAGTTGAACGACCCCAGCTTTGTTTCTGTGTAAATAATTTTTGATTGTTACACTTTTTGCCGATCCTCGGTTACATCGCGGTGGATTGTTTGCAAATGCAGGCCCGGTACGTGATAGATTACCGACCAATAACTTTCTCTACGAAAACAAAGCGTCGGTGGATTACCGACGTTGGTGTCGCACGATGTTGTTTGGTCTCTTTGGCCACACCTCGGTTGCAGGGATAGAAAACGCAATTCTATTATGCCAGGCACCAAAACAATTGGACCACTCCTAGCTCGAACACGCTACAAAGTAAATAATATCCTCGTAAGGTCCTGAGAATTATCCTTTGTACAGGGTGTCCCGCTTTGAGAAGCAGCTACTTTCGTATTTTTGAACGTACAGTGTAGTAAATGCGATGTACACGCATTTTTGGTACACCTGTACCTAAATCTGTATGAGTTTTCAATTCTCTGATTCAGGAATGCCACATTTATACGCATATAAATTGTAACAGAGCTAGCCGAGCTATCGATGGAGTCAGCGGTCCCAAAAATGTTTCCTCATATTATTGTGGTAGGTGAGCAAGTATTAGAAAAATATGTTTTATTAGCAAAAAATATTTGTCAATCGAGTTATCTTCTCTTTTGTAACACACCTTGTAGGGTCAAATACTGTCAGACAAACGTCGCAGTGAAGTAAATATAAAAGCTCGTTTTAGTTTATTAGATAAATAACTTATTATTACACGAACTAGGAAGTATGGAAGAAAAGACGAAGCATTATCCCAATTATAATAAAACTATTCACATAACAAGTGTTTTCATTATAATAACATAATACCAGTTGATTACATTTTCGCGGCTATGTGCAAATACCTTTAGAAATTTTTTTACGTTCCTCAACAATACAGATTTTGTTGATTATTATATTTATAAAAGATATGTACTTTAATGTTCCGTGACATTTTTTTCGTTATATCAATCCAATTATGTTTGGAAAATACTGATTATCTTTAAAAAAAAAGTAATGGAAACCTATTTTTAGTACAGCCTGAATTCAACCGATACAAAAAAAGCATGTGGCAGGGGTACAATAATAATAATAAATTCAATAAACTTATTCAATTTCATTGTGCATCTGGGCAGGTGTACCTATTGACATTTATTGTTGCATTACATGATCTTTTATGGGGTTTGCATCAATACCGAAAGAAATTATTATTACTATTATATGTATTGTTAATTTTGTGAGTATATTGGTTGTAGCATAACAGAGGATGTATAAAAAAATAATTAAACTCAGAACTCTCAGAAATATGAAACGGTGAAACTAATTTTACAATTATCTTTTTAAGAGAAGATTCTGACTTTTTCTTCTTGACAAACTACAATTGAAATTTTATTAACGATTTGAGTAACTGATACTTTTCTCTGTGTATAATATAATTAGTTACGCTATATCGATTAGTAATTAGCTCTTAAGATAAACACAGCAGAGATCATTGTCGTTTCCAGGAATCCAAACCATTGTCATTATTCAGACGAGAAGTCATTTGGTAAAGACCTGAATTTAAATAGTTTTATTTGCATTCATTTAAACGTTATTTGACAATAATAAAAATTCAAATTCAGCTTGTAACCCAGCAATTTACAATGTGCCGAATGCAAAATAATATATAATTTTAAATGCAATAGCTTGTCCCACGCGAAGATGAGGTCTTTGATAGTGTCAATTTTTTAAGAACCAGGTCATTGTAATAAAGATGTTTCTCAGATAAAATTAATCTTTAGTTTAATGTAGCTGGTGTAGGATTTAATGATGGCTTTGAACAAAAATAAAAAACTCAGAACCCAAGAGTTATCAATAATAATAAAACCTCAAAAAATGTAACTAAAAGGTGTCCTTTAGTGCAATTAATAAAACTTGGGTGGAGATTTTTATTCGAAAAACGAGTAATTTTCGATTTTTAGAAATATAAATTCAATGATTATAAGAATGGAGGTGTAAAGAATATAAAATAACCTACAAATTCAAAATATCTGATGTTAACGGAAAACATAACTTAAAATTTTTTTTAAGCAACCTTGAATCATAAATATAATAATATTAACCTGAATTTGTTTTGCACATCGGAAATTTTTATGGGGATTTAGGATATCGAAATAATTGCGGTCAAAATTTGCAAGATAAGCAAAATCAGTGTCATGCGTACATTATAGTTGAAGGTGACTTAGAATTTTCGAAAAGACGATAGACAAATAACAAAGAACTCGATATTAGTGAAAATGTGGAAAGAGACAAGATAAGGAAAAAGAGCTTGCTTGCGTTCCACAGCTTCAATAGTTTTTGAAATGGTTTGCTATTCGTGTAACACACTTTTGGATAGCTTAGAAGCCTACTTGAAAGAATGTACAACGTAATTATGGATTGCATTAATGACAAAATGTTGTTAAGTTCGGTATGCTTCGATAAAATTGCTAATGCAATTACTATAAATGTGAATAAAGAACCAATAATTATTGATCAAAGGGAAACATCAATGAATATACTTTGGAGGAATTTTTAAAACATAAGGCCTCTTCAGATATAAGTGAAAAATATACTCTTTTCCACTTGCGTAAATATAGGATCTGTGGTAGGCTTTATAGACACTGACAACCACAATAATGGGATAATTAAAAATAAAACAGTTCTTTGCCTCCTTTGAAAAATGTACATATTCTCTTCTTATCTCTTTCAAATTTAGGGAGTTATTAATTCATGTTCTAACTGTTATTAATATCCAGTGATTAGGTATTAATAATAACACATAAATAGTAATTATTGAGTTCTCAAAATTCACGCACATGACGTAAAATTTAACGGGCCAGGTACTTATTATTTGTTTGCAAACTTTGAGTTTCTAAATTATCAAGTACCTGCTAATTAATGATTTTTAAGTTAGAAAAATACACTTTACGAGCATCGTGACGATTTTACAAGGCTGTAATGTAAAAAATATAAACAGAAAGTTTAGGAAAATATAGATAAAGTTAGTTTAAAATTATTAGAAAGTGCAAAAGAAAAATTGTATATTTCATTTTATATGTAAATGTCATTTCCAATTTTACTCTTATTGCGTTCATGTGCGTGATAGTTACATATTTATTAATAACATTTGTATTTGTCAGTAAGAATCGAAATTTGCAAGAGTTGAGAACTCTATAAAATTCCATAAAAAGTATTATGCATTATTAGCATTGGCAACAATTGTAACAAAAAAACGATTGAAAACATTGTTAAAATAAAAATGTGTGCATCTCGGTGATAATACTACCAACTTAATCTAATTAGTTTTAATTATAATAAATTATGTCTCACAATTAGTTAGCGGAAAGTATGTATAAGATTAAAAAATAGTTGTGGCGTGTTTTTAGTGATGCAGTAGGTTTCTGTATTAAAACAATTAGTATTAGTTATTTGCTATGAGAAGGTTCGTATGTTATTTAACAGTAAATGAAAACGACGATTGATTAAGCAGGCACCTAATTAAATTCGATGAGTTTATTTTAAACTTAAAACGAAATTTTGTTACGAAGTTTATAAAAAAAATCTAGTATTTATTTTTTCCAACTTATATTAATAAACAGAAGTACCACTTACAACGTCCTCTACTAGATACATATATAAAAAAATAATATACATTTTCTAAATTTAGCTAGAATGGCGTCAGATTTTGATTTCTATGACGTAGATAGGTCGCAAATTAAAATTATCGGAAATATCACATAACAATTAATACATTTTGCACGAATTCGCCAACATTTCTCATTCGACATCTATATTTTACAGTCCTGGTGAAAAGTTAACGAGCACGTACTTACGTACATTGTGATTGAAAGTTTATGTAACGCTTTGACGAAAGTCAGTCGACTTCGCTGGGACAAATGTCTTCCCTTACAGACAAAATAAGTTAAAAAATGATCTACAATCATTTGGTTTTGGTTTATTGTTTGTATTTAATTTTTTAAAGAATGCTTATTATTATATAGTGGAAGAAGTGGAAGAACAATTTATCTCAAATAAATTGAACTTCGCCTTTTGCTTTATACTTTTATTTACATTATTATTATATCAACATACCTACTTGTATGAAAAGCAATAAAGTCGATTATTATTATTATTATTATTATTATTATTATTATTATTATTATTATATTTTGATGAAAGTCTATCGACTTCGCTGGGACAAATGTCTTCCCTTACAGACAAAATGAGTTAAAAAATGATCTACAATCATTTGGTTTTGGTTTATTCTTTGTATTTCATTTTTTTAAAGATATTTATATTATACAATCAATTTATATTATTTATTGCAGAGGTAGTGAAACATTTTTGACCCAGATACTTATAAATATACAGGGCGTATTGTTATGATCCTTATTTAATTTTTGTTAGAAGACTTTGGGATATCGGAACTTATTGAATTTATTGTAGAAAACCGTTTTCATAAAATTTCTCTAAAATAATATGTAGCCGATTCTAAGACTGGACAAATATATAATTTACTTCATTAAATTAAAAAAAAAATAAATAGTTTATTGTATCAGTAAAAGGTTGATTTGGAAAAAAATATACCTTTCTAAACCAGCTGATAGAAAATAAGAATATTATAGATATTTTGTTCTAATTTATCAAACTAAGCATTAAACAACAATTAATTTCACGTCCAAAGACAGTAAATGATTACGTTGGATTTCGCAGTACTAGCGATTTCTTTAAAAAGTTTACATAACCGTCAGCGTACACACATTTGCAATTTGTTTATATTTACACACCTCCAAACAACTAAATTGAGTTTGTGCTTAACGGATACGCTATTTTTGTAATTTCTGAGCGATCGAGGCGGCGTAAAAGTTACCGGATGGACCTAACTAAGACAATTACAGGTACGAATCAGTCAAGTAACTCACCTGACGAATCGTTGACCGAGAAACAACCAACTAACTCAGTGACAGTCCCCCTCGGTAGGCAGACTGCTTCTAAATGTGCGTTCAAGTTCACTACGGCAACTAAATATATGACGGTAGTTTCTCCATCTCGCCCCTCTCTAATTTATCAATTATTATACTATACAGGGTTTGAAAAAGTGCAGAACAATGGAGAGATCTCGGCAACGTCCTTAGTGTTTTTTCGATTCACGTAAAAAATAGGATTTTTCGCTGATCGACGTTAAAGGTGTAGTTTTAGTGACAGCTGTCAGGTACTGAAGTGTCACTTTTACTGCCTAGGCCTAGGCATAGAATCATTTTTACTGCCGATAAATTCAAAATTAAAATTTGTTCTTTAACAAAAGTAATTTTATTTATTGTAAACATAGTATATATAGTCCTTGTCCTGTTTGTTTTGAAACATTTACGTCGTCTATGCAGATTGAAGTGTTTTTACTACTAGATGGTTTATGAACTACTGAATTCTTCAAAGTGGTTGATTTTTTTTAAAAAAGGCAAAATAATTAAGTTTTTTGGATAATTTTTAAAAAATATTTTAATTGCTCCGAGGGCATTCTAATTTTGGAAAAAAAACTTTAGAGTATAACAAAACAACACACCAAATTTCATTAAAATCGGTTCAATGGTTTTCACAAAATAATTTTTTGAAAAAAATTATGAACAAAATTTTTCGGATTTTCAAAATGTTGCACAGCCTCGAATAAAGCATCTAGATACTTGAAAATGTTTTCACATAGACCGCTCAACCTTTCAAATGGTTTTTGAAAAATTGAAATCGGTTGATTAGGACGGCCATTCTTTTTTTTTGTTTTTAAACAATTAGATTACATTTATCAATTTGCAATTTCGTTTTCTTCAAAAATTATAACTTTAAAGTACTTGGAAAGACGCTTTTTTTTAAAGTTAAATTTCGTTTATTGGATCTTGAGATATAAGCGATCAAAGTTTATCGGCATTTACTACACGAAAAGTGGGGGGGGGGGGGCTTTCGCTCGGGCCATTTGAAAGGTTGAGAGTTCTTTTCTATGCGATGCTTTATTTGAGGCTGTGCAACATTTTATTTCAAATTTTGTTTCAAAAAATTAATTTGCGAAAACTATCAAACCGATTTTAATGAAATTTGGTGTTATTTTATTATACTCTAAAGTTTTTTTTACCAAAATTAGAATGCCCTCGGAGCAATTAAAATATTTTTTAAAAATTATCTGAAAAACTTCATTATTTTGCCTTGTTTTTTATTAATTATTGGTATCACATTTTTAACTTACAGTATATAGTGCAAAATTCAATTCTAAAACTTTTTTTCCTCTTCAATATTCTTCCAAAATGCATAGGTTCCAAGATATAAGTAAAAAACTAGGTATTTTTTAAAATATTTTAAACATTTTTGCAATTTTAAAAATGTTCCGGACCTCGCCCAGATCTAGGGATCTTCACTTTTATTATGTAAGTTGTAATGAAGATAATCCAGAAAAAATTTGCTTGCCCCCTCTCAGATCCACCTCATCAAATATATGAATTCCTATTCAACAAACTTACAGTCGGTGTGGTTCTGCTTTTGTTTTTGATAAGCAGGAAGGTGCAATGACTGCAATGTCAAAGTGACACAAAGTGACATTTAATTAACTTAATACTTCCTGGTACTTTCTTTCTTAAATAATCTTTAGATGTCGTACTGTTGAATCGGTTTGATGTTTCGAAAGCATGAAAAATTATGTTAAAATTATCAATCACTGCATTTTATTCTCTGTTAACTATTTGAATCTGGTTCATATAACTACGATGAAGTGAGAGATAGTTAGCGATCCACAGCCTGCTGCAACTCTCTCAAAAGATATTTTCAGGGAAATTATTTGAAATTTAAAAATCTAGGTTTTGGAAATGCTCGAGGACGAAAATTTAGTGAATTACTGACTGCTATATGAGACCGGTAAATAGTAGTCTGCATATATTTTTTCATAATTTTAGGCCGGACCTAATATTTTCACAATTTTATCAAACAATTGTTTGCAATCTTTAATTTCTAGTGTTAAGAATTGACTACATTTTCATCTTCAGACACTTACAGTGCCTTCTAGATTGTTAAATTCAATTTTAAGTCTGCATAAAAAATACTTTTCGTTATAAACTTATGGAATTTGAGAGATAGCAGTTTTAAGTGATACTGGTTAAGGTTACTTGGCAATATTTTTTGAAGATATGCAATATTATTTGATAGATATATTTTTTCTTCATTAAAGAGCAATTGTTTGACGAATTTCGTTAAAAACTTTTTTATTATTCTCTGGAGACACTGTAAGATTCTAAATGGAAAATATTAACTCAAACAAAACCCATAAAAATTACAATATAGCCTATAGTTAACATTACAACAGCATTTTGAAAATATTGAAAGTTTCCTCTTTATGTCTTCTTAGGGACAAAAAAAATTATAAAATTTGTAGAGCAAAATATAATATCTGCAACGATCTTTGATGTTATTTTTATAAATTACACCTTTCTTCTTAATATTAGAGAATGTTTTGAATAATTATTTAGGTATTTGGTTAAAGAGAGACGATTGGCCAACCAAATCTTCAGATTTTAGTCCATTGCACTTAATTTGATACAGAAGAGTTAAGTTATTACGAATATAATTACACTTCTCACAGACTACCCCTGTATTCTACTATAGTTTACCTAAGCTATCGATTTTAATTTTATATTAGTACTTCCTCAGACCGGTGGAAATGAAAAGGATATAAATGTTCACATCGAAATCATTACTTAATTGGGCTTAGATCTATAAGGAGCGGTAGATAGCACGTTTTATTGATCACAATTCCTATCAAATTAACGTTTATTCCGCATTTCTGAAGAGCAAAAAGTATGTAACAAAATATGAAGTATAGATCAATATGTTTTGTTCTTATTATTCCCTTTTTTTTTGTCCAAAATGACTAAGGAACAACCTCCTGAAGTTGTGACATACTTAGACAACGCCTTGTATAATTATTTCATTTTAAATTTTTATGAATTAATGTACGATAATGTGCCACACAATTCACAGATTCTAATATAAAATTATTATGTTATTATTATTAGTCATTTAAAAATATTAAACAGCATTTTCATAAATACTGAATCATTATCAAAACGATTTCTATTGACGTTTTTCGTTGTTTTTGTTTCTATTTATGTTCCTTGTTTGTAAATAAACATATTTTCGTTTGACCTCTTCAGTAATTGCTACTTTTCGGTCAACAGATTTGTATTAGTTCTACTCCAATTTTCTGGGGTTACCCAACAGTATTTTTTGAAATTATCAAGCGTACAGCGGTTTCATAAGCCTGTGTAAAAACAGAAGGCTGAACGTAATTTTGCAACGGCATTGTATTGATATCAATTTATTGCGGTTCTCAATAACTGTCTTTTTCAGTATATAAACAATTTTATCGGGATATGCTCCTGTATTGCCAATATTTTTATTTTTTGGTCTAGGAAGCACATACGTTTTGTATTCATTATAATTACAATATAATTTTAAGACAATCCTCGATGGATATAAAAATTATGTTTAGAGAGCTCGGTACCCTTCAAAAAAAAAATAATAATATCAGTTTTTTGCTAGGACTAGTCATATGACCCTCAAGGCCCACCCCAAGCAAAAATCCTACCTACGCCCATGTTTATTGTTAAGTTTCTTAAGCATTCTTTTGAAAAAAATAAAAAAAAACCTTGACTACACTCCATATAGTAATAAGAATTAAAACTATGTAAGCAGTAACAAAATCTATTTCGATATCTTCTGGAACAACTAATTTGACAGGAAATCGTTCTCAGGTGACAGGAAGGATTTTTATATCTTCCACTTCTACCAACTGATTTAGTAATACTTCATCTACTCAAATGGTAATTATAAGTTTGCATACATGTAAAATTTAACGTCACATTAGTTTGGACTGTCATCCTGGTTATTTGGTGCTACAAAAAATCTATAAAATCAATACTGACGCCTATAGCAAGTAAGTAAGTGGCAATTCTGGTAAGTGATGGTACATCACATCAGTGTACATATTTCTTTAAGAATGTAAGAAAATAACTAGATAGAACATCCATTCACGTACTGTTGGTTATCTAGTCAACCTTGAAATATTTGTTTCTCATTTGTTTAGAAACGAAACATTGGTAAAAGGACTAAAAATATCGCGTGAGAAAAAAATACTTCATGTTAAGCGATTGTAATATGGAGAGTAGTCATTGGTAAAAAGTCACTGGGGCCTATAATTCTGTTCAGTGTTATAATTAAAATGTTTGGTATTGTAATAAGAACTCACTTTCAATTAATGAACACGGCATCGCATAATGAATACATTTTAGTCCTCACATAAAAGGTTGCTAATGAGGAAAAATGAACTATTTTATTGAATTTGGGGTTAATTTCTCTAATTTCAAGAAACCAATTAACTGTTTTGTAAATGAAAATACCTAAAGATGTAAATATCATGAGAGATAATAATTGATATAAGTAAATTAAAATATACCCGAGGATTTTGGTATATTATAAATATTTGACAATTGATTTATTTATGATTATGATACATTTTTTGTCCACTATAAAATATTACATTTAAAAATCGTTTCAGTTCTCATTTTTTACAGGGTCGTAGGTACTACTTTATTTGCCGAATTAATTGAACTCTGCCTTACCCCATATCTCCACCACTGATATACTAATAATACTTATTACTGAGAACATATTGCGACAAACTATTTAATCAGAAGTCATGCCAAATTTTACTTAAATATCCCTAGTCACTTTAAAGATATTAAAAAATATAATTATTTTTTTGGAATATTTAACACCCTGTATCTCGAAAATGAAGCGATTCGGGCCCTATATCCTATAAGTTTATGGGACGTTCTTTGTCAGCCGCAACAAAGCTCCTTCCACTTTTCATGTGCTCTAATTTTAGCGATCAAGAGCTTAAAATTTTCCTTATTGATCCCCCTTCCTGGAAAAAATGGACACCTTCGTGTTGAATTGAGCGAATCTGACTTTGGATTCGTGATCAGCGACCTCAAAAACTCTTGCAAACCAAGTTTTGCGAAAATTGGATGATTTTTTCAAATTTCGAGTTTTTAGCCGCTATCTTGAGTTTCGTCAATCTGCCTCATGAATTTTTTGAGAACATTAAATAGCAACAATTTAAGCCCGAAACCAATCGAATCGAACGGTAACTTTTTTTATAAGCTTTTTGGTTTGAGGTAGTATCCATTTTTTCCTGGGTTTCGGCCGCCATTTTGAAATTTCTTGAAAGGCTACACGGGATCAGAAAGGGAAAATTTTAAGCCCTTGATTGTTAAAATCAGAGCACATGAAAAGTGGAAGGAGCTTTGTTACGGTTGACAAAGAACGTCCCTTATACATTTTTTTCCCTTATTTTGACCAGAGGAAGCGTCTTCAAAGTTTATCGGCTTAATCCTAAAACACCCTGTATAAAATAATATACATATGTTTCTTTAATAAATTTTACAGAAATAATTGTTTATATAATGTTATAATAATGATGTAATAATAATAAAATTAACACTAAATTTACAACGAAGGAAAATTATTAATGTGATATTGAAATTTATAATGAAGATCATTCAATAATAATAAAACGATAATTAAATTTATTTATTCGATTATTGTATTCAATTGTTTTAATAATTTACACATTATTCAAAAAATTAAGTCAAATAATCAGATACGTACATTTTCTTAATTAGAAAGCGTATTTCAGATATTTCTTGTTAAATGTCTAGAACCTTTTAAAAGAAATTGAAATGTATTTAAGACAAAATAGAATCATTCTATATCAAGCATATTGCAAAAGTATAATTAGCATTTGAATTTAGAAAACTTCACAATTAACAGTAGGTACTTAATCAGAATAAGTTTCAAGTGATTTTACAAGACAACTGCAACTGATTTTGAAATTATATTGGAAGTAATTAAACTACTTTTTAAATGAATAACATTTTCTTGAATTTTACAACAAAGGTCTTCAATTTTACAACGAGCTATTAGATATTTAATGAGATTATCTCCATCCTCTTTTTTATTCAGAACCATTTTAGGAAAAAAGTTATTCAGTGACTGAATACAAAAGCATAATTTTAGTCATTCAGTTGAGTCTAAAGATTATTTTTTAATTCATCTGCAGGGTGAAATCATGACTGTTCAAGCGAGTGGTTGGACCGGTCAAAGTCGTTAAGTGGACAAATATTTCGCTGGTCAGCCCAATCAAACGATTAATTAAAAAATATTAAGTGATTGTTCTTTAAAAATATGAGTGATAATTATGTGGAACATATTTTATGTTGGCACTACAACCCAATACTTTGCATAAAAAAAACAAAATGGTCACAGTTGGCCATGGCTTTGAATAAAAAAGTTACAAGGATTATTAGCAGAAAACCCTGTATTTATAAATTGACACTAGTATATGCTTAGTTCAACAACCCACTTTTACCAATCTCTGGGTAAACTAATAAGTTTTAAAAAATAACTGACAAAATAAGTTAGGTATTTCTATTCCTAATTTTTTATTATTTCCTTTAAAACAAACCTCATAACTCCAAGAAAATTGTACAAAACAAATTATATTTAAACTCGACAAGTCTTTAACACAAATAACTCAAATACTCAGTACTTCCTTACTCGATAGGAACGACATCACTTATCCATTTCAAATAAGCCTCATTGCCATTCTGAATCGGCATTGATATAACCTCACAGACTGTATAAGGATGGTTCTCCTTTACGTACTGTGTAAGCCGATTGATCTTAGCAGTTCTAGTCTTAATCATCATAAGGACTTCTGGTTCCTCATTTATTTTACCCTCCCATTCAAAAATGGAGGTTATCTTCGGAACGATATTGACACAAGCAGCTAGTTTTCTGCTTACAAGTCCGTGGCCGATTTTCTTTGCGACTTCTTCATTAGGGGCTGTTACGTACGCTACAGAATGATCACCTGGGGTGTACGAGGAACAGGAGGTTTTATTTGCAGAGCAGATTTCGCCAGACATGTCTTTGGCAGCCACAACAGAAAACCTTCTAGAAAATCTGAAAGAATACACAGAATATCACTTGGAATCGTTCAAATAAAATTCTGGGTGTCATACCCTAATATTAGTGTAGAAAATAGCAAACTTTTATTAATAATTAACATTGTTGGAGTGCTGTAAATTACTTACCGACCAAAACAACTCTGCGCAAATACAAATGTCAAACACTTTAAATTTTATTTATATTTTTGTGTTTGGTTATAATTTTCATAAGACAAATTTCCATGAGATATAATGTTCGTAAAGTAGCATTTTACCATAGACCTAGTAAACTAGTTTATAAGGTCTATGCATTTTACCAACACCAACATTTATAGCTCTCGTAATGTTGGTTGCATACATTTTCAATAAGATTTTAATTTTAAATTATTTCCCAATTCTCGAAATTACAGAAATATAAGACGTAGTACGTAATTAATCTATATCTAATATTAAGGATGCTCTAGCCAAACTGCATTTACTAGGCTGTCTATTTATTGCAAAACACAACTCTTATTTATATTATACTCTTAATATATATATCCATTTATTGTTTTTTATCAAATATATGATTTATATATTTTTTTTCAAAGTAATTATTGATATTCTTGTTCTGAGATTTTGTAAATTGTATATTTCTATACTTTGACACAAATTCATTCGTTATTTTATCTATCTCAGTTGTATATGAAAGTGAATAAAATCTCTCACAATAAAGTCGATTTATTTCAAAGTTTGTTGAAAATATATTACATTATATCTGATACAGTGTACATTTATTTATCTTCAATAAGTATCATAAGGTGGATCTCCATATTTCTTATAGATGCCATCCCAAAATTTCATGCGTTTGTTAAACGGATTCAATTTAATCTCCACATCTTTGTCTATATCCAAATACAGTTCATTGTTGGGTATAACATTTGATGGTAACCAAATTACATTTTCCAGAAGTGGGTCTATGGACGGTGTAGGGAGTCTAAAAATACGAAAAACAATATTACAGAGCTTCAATTACATGAGAGAATTACCTTCTAGTCAAGCAGATGTCATAAGAGAGCTACCTATACAGTTCATGTTGATATTTTATTAATATTATTAATTATATTAAAATTGACCTGTTATTACTAAGATACGTGATTAATTGTTATTTATACAGCCTACTAAGACCATGTTGACTTCTTATTAATGTGATACGTGATTGTCATTTGCGAGTATTTGTCTATTAATGTTATTCATTGAGTTATGAAAGTAATATTTGCTTACAAGAATTTTGCAAAATTGGTCCATAACTTAACCATCCTCGATCTTGTACGAATATCATCTGGAGAGACGGTGAAATTAGGATACGTTCTGAAGAGGTAACTAGTTTCTTCACCATGCCCAGCTCCTAAAATTTTTAATTTGATTCAACATCATGTCTTTCAGTCATACAAAAATAGGTACCTCTCATGCTTTTTTGAAAAAATAAATTAGTTTACATATAAAACTAATTCGGGATGAACTAAAATTTTAAAAAAGGGTTAAATTGATACCTTTTTGTTTTGATAGCAGAAGTATATTTTGTATTTTGTTCCTTGAAGAATTCGCGACATCTAGTGACAAATAGATTACCTAAATCAAAAGTCACTGAAAGATTTCTACTTAATAATAACCTGAATGGATTGTGATTTAGCTCCTAATATGTAGATGTCGAGAGATGTGCGCTAAATTTACAAAAATGGATTTTTTAAAAGAATTTTAAATTATTATATTACTAAAGGGCCTTTGTACCGTCGTTACTTGAATTTTAGGTTATGTTATGCTGTTTGCTCTAAGTCACGTGACTTAGGATACACGCGACATTGATTTAAAAAGAAACTATTTCTGATTACATTGACTTTTTTGATAGTAATACAACAATTAAAAAGATTTTTGTCAATTTTGTATGAAAAAGACGCAATAACATTTAATAATACCAATAATGGGTAAGTCACGTGACGCGAGACTAGTTTCATATCACTTTACATCTTGACCTTTACCCTCTCTTTCTCTCTGCATTCTATCCATAGCATATTGTCAAATCGAGGACTTCTTTACACGGATATATTTTTTTATAGTTTTTTTGTATTCTCTGAATTGTACTCACCCTCTTGGCTTCTATTTGGTGCTCCTAGAAGACCAGTATAAGAAAATTTGTAAAAGTACACAGAGACATATTTAGATTGATCGATTACAGTTCTTCTAACTGCTCTATTAAATAGGTCGTCACTAATAAACTAAAAAAAAGTAATATTAAAACTTCTTAAGTTATAGTTGAACAATTATCGGTATGGAACATTTCGAGAAACATATCGCTCTTTGCTGTAAATGAAACTGGAGATTAAGTCCTCTGGCCGGTATTTATATTTGGCCTTCTGGCCTCGATCGAAGTCTTTCCTAAGATCACCCGTAAGATCGACAGAAACGTCATATTATTATGTCAGTGTATTAACCTCTTTTCTCAGAGTTTCTACTGTAGAAGAAAGCGGTATGACCTCGAACTTGAACAATAACCACTTTAGAAGTCCGACATGTTAACTTAAATCATCGACATTTTTATTACATAAATATTTAATATGTATTTCTAACCTTTACAATAGCTTCTGTCTGTCCAGCGATGGGCGATGTACCAAAATAGAATGATTTTATGTCAGTCGCTGCTTGCATTATTTTCGTTGAATTTCTTGTAAGATTAATAGGTGTCAGTCCTGATATATTGTTGTCATATCTTTCGAAATATTGACGCACCGTTGCTGGAGGAGTAAATGTGTGGTTAAAAGTGAAAGTCGACGGCAGTTAGCGGACGATATTAAAAGAAAAATATATGCCTTTTGAAAAATATATACAAATAATAAAATACAAATACAATAATAATCGCTCTGTTGTTATTGAAAAATAATAAAAAAAATTCAAATGAAAATGGAATGGATCAAAAATTTTATACTAAAATTATTTTCAAATATTTAAATCAATATATCAATCAATATCACAGCTCTTCATTTTTTTTAAATATATACCTGGAAAACCACCTACTGTAGCTGCTTCGCTAGATGTAAAACCAATAATTACGGGCTTCCTCAAGAATCGGCCTTGAGACAGCTCTAACTCGCTATATTTATCCACGACTCCAGGTTCTTTGACAAGTCCGTACACTAGACCGTTTAGGAGATTATCTAAAAGGGCCTAGAACAACCGTAAAAGAAAATAAGATAAATTGAGGTTATGTTCACGTATCTTCTAGTTATAATGAATTCAAATGAGTCAAAGGAATTATTTGAACTGAAATTTTCGAAAACGAGATACAGGGTGTTTTTAAATGAAGTAGCAAAAATGGTACCAGTGAATGTAGAGATAAAGAAGAAAAGTAAAGAAAGAAAACAAAATTAGAAATTTTTGCAAAATTGTATTCGTTGTATCATATCTTTTTTTTCAAGAGTAATAATTAAAGAAGGAAAGAAATAATAAACCAATTTTTATCAATAAGAACAAAGGGTCATAAGAAGGCAAGAATGAAACAGAGGAAGAAGAGACAGGAAATAAATTGACATACTTTATATGACAACTATGAAATCAAAAGTCAATTAATTTAGGTAACTCCATAAATTTAAAATGTTTATAAATTTTGAGCAAGATTATTGACTTCTTCAGTAAGTTTTCTCTACTCACAGTAATTGACATCCCAAATGCGACATCTTGTAACTGAAGTGAATTAATTTTCCTCAAGCCATTAATTAAACTTGTTGAACTTGAAGTATCGACATTCAGGGCTCCGCCAACGGCAAACATAGTTTCTCTGGATCTTCTGTCGAGCGCCCATAGGCATAGAGACGTTCCACTCTCCATTATACCAGCCCTGAATAAATCTAGGAAAGAATTTACGGTTTGTATTGTTTCGGTAAATAAAAAGAGAAATATTTGATAGAAAAAATGTCCATAAAATTTGGTAAATTGGCATACGTACGAATATTTAAGAGAATGAATGAGATGAACAAGAGAATTAAGAAGAAGCCCTAGTATTTTGTTTAATTGATTTTTTTAAATTTTAAAATACCTTACTATATTGGGTGTCTGCTTCAGATTTTTTGAAAAAAAATTTGTATATCAAAATTTTAAAAGGCATTATCTACATTTGGCATAAATAAAAAAAGTGGGGGGATCAACCCATTTCCTAAAACTTCTATGATTTTTTTTTAAATTCATTCGTACTTTATTAAAGTTATTAAAAGCCGCCATTCGGAACAGACTCTCTTACTGTGACGTCACATATTTAGGCAACCCGCAACAAATTGTCATAGTTGAAAATGTACGGATGGAATCTGACCCTTGTTATGGAACCAAAGCCGGGACGCGTAGTAATTTATTTGTTAGCTCTGGAAACGTATGGGCCAGTAAAATAATAACAGTAAAATATTTCAGTCAACACTAATTTATCGGAAAGTTAATGGTTTTCAAGTAGGCTTAACGTCGCCAAGACCGTCCTTCGGGGTAGGTCGAAATATAGCAATACTTTTTGAACAAGTTCACTTAGAGTCGGGGCCATGTGTTGAGCAGGTATAAAGAGAAAATTCGATATTTTTAATAACGCGCGAAACCACGAGAAGAGCGTAGAGGTTTCAAAGTAGAATTAAATCAAATTGTTAAATTGATAGTAATTGGAAAAGAAAGTAATAGATGAAATAGCTGGTTTTTTGGCGGATTTTCCGATACATTAAATGAGATCGACTAATCCGTCCCGTATCGCTACACGGAGTCACTAGAGGAAGGCTAGGGTTACTTGTAAGTAAGTTTAGTTTCAAAATTATTTAGACAATTGTAAAATCAATTATAACTATTAACATGGCATAGTTATGCCAAAGCGTCCGATATTTAGGGTTCCCGCCAGTAAGATAAGAACAGAAATGCCCGTGTTGAAGCGAAGTGTCGAATTCAGGAGAGATCTACGAAAAAAGTCAGTTCTTCCTTGGTTTCACATTGAGCAGTCTACTTAGTTTTAGAGTCTCGGGTTAATTTAATAATGGATAAAGTCATTCCAAATTTTGCTATGGATCGCGCATTCCCTGAATCTCGGTACGCTGTCGCGTGTCAATAAAGTAATTAATAATGTTTTTCGAGCCGTTGTGCAGTTTGCTTGTTTGTTTGTTTTGTTTTTATTGTTATTAAAACCCTCCCTGGAATGTTTTGGTGTTTCTTTTTATTCCTTTCAACCTCAGTGTCACCCTGTACAACCAGTCACTGGATTACATTCTACGTAAGCAATGGATGGTAAGTGCTTAAAATTCATTCTCTGAACATACAACATTTCTAAGTTCCCACGTATTAATTAAAGTATAATGATAATTTTAAACTTCCTTTCGAGAATTGAATAGTAAACTCTTTTGAAATCCAGATTCGTAATGATACTGGTCATAACGATATATAGATAGATAAAGAAATAACCCCTCAGGTTACAGTTATTTACATAGATACTACAGAACTATTTCAAATTAACTTATTTTTACAAGAATTTAGATGTATGTAACAGCCAACACGTGTTTCATAAAATAGATAGGTACACTAATCTACTTAAAACTTAAAAAAAACGATACAAAACAATATTATTAAATTTAATTAAAGTAAAAATTTAACATTAGCCGTGTTATTGCTAATGCGCATGATCGGGAAGAATAGCGTCATACACAGGTGTGAAGTATTTTTTATTGTTATTGCTTGGTGCTCTGCTGTGTCAGTCTGTTTATCGAGTGTTTTCTTTCTTCAAGTAGTGTATAAGTGATGTCATTACTAAAAATGTCTATTGCTAAATAGGCCGTCTTGAACACTTGTTAGACTAGTGAAAGCAATAAACCACGATAATAAGACTGCTATGAGAACCACAGTAATACTTAATAAATAACAAACATTTTTTTTCTTGAAATCTGTAAATATTTTTCCGTTTTTTTACTTCCCTTTATAAGCGTTAAATAATTTACAACTGTTGCAATATATAACAATTTTTATATCAACAACTACTTTCATGGAATGTGAGATTGAAAATTGCAGTGTACTAAAGGTACATATTCACTACAACACGATTTATATCAATAAGTATAACTATTTACATTTTATTATCCTTTAATTCAATTATTTACTAAAAAAATGTTACGGCGGTGTAAATAAGACACTTATAAATATTGTGTAGTCTTATTATCTTCTTAATCTTGTTTGGTGGCGACCAAGTTAGCTAAATTTAAATCGTTGTTATTTTGTTATTTGAAGGCCATTGAAACTAGGGTTGCTTTGGATGCGAGATTCTGGATATTCGAGGATGCGAATGCAAACATTCCAAGTTAATATTCGCGATCGCAAAAATGAATATTAGCAAGTAACTAAAATTTGGTATTCAAAATAAATGAAAAATATGAATTAATGTGCGTAGAAATAAATTTAAAATTGAAACAAATAATTAAATTCAAGACTACTGACCCCTAGTGAGATTGGTTTGAAGTAGATAGGAAACCGAGGCAGATCCAGCGCTTCCTCCGAATATCGTCACTTTCTTGGGATCTCCCCCAAAGGACGCAACGTTATCCTGCACCCATTTCAGAGCCAGAATCTGGTCCTTGAATCCAAAATTTCCCGGACAAGTAGAGTCCTCGGTGCTTCCAAAACCGTATATCCCCAAACGGTAATTGAAAGACACAAAGACTATGTCTTTTTCCAAGAGGTAATCTGGGCCATAGCTTATGTAACTGGAATTGCCCAAGTTGAAACCTCCCCCGTGTATCCACGCCATGACAGGTAGTTTTCTTCCTTTCAACTGAGAGATATTCGAAAAAGAAGAGGAAAAGAAAAATGCATCAGCAAATACTACAAAATTGTATGAATTAAGTCTATTTTCACATTTTTGCGCGCATCTTATAGTCATTAAGTTGTATAAAAATAAACAAGTTACTTTATTCTGAACGTTTCAGTGTTAATTTTTCAGGATAAGTAATGTTGTCGTAAAAACTGCATTTGCAAAAGTTGTACCTGAAACAAGTGGTCTCTAAAAACAATTAATCATGGCAGCATGACCTTTTCCACTTACTATTTCCTGCAATACTGTTTCCAGCCCACAAACAAACTGCCGTTGCTATTGATTGTAAAACCGAAACAGCATTTGACAACGTTTGATATTTGCAATCCAGTTGCATAGTTCGCAAAGTTCACTTTTATTAAATTAGCATTATTATGGCAATCTAATAGATGGAACATGTCGGCGTTGCAGTTTAGTTAGGGCAAAACAAACTTTAATCACTGTTAATGAATGTACACCATCATGCTGATTCGTAGCTGACCGACTAATAATTTGTTTAATTAACGCTAATAATCGGAAACTTGGGGTCTGTCCAGTCGAAAACTTAACTTTGTCTAAGGTTTTACTTTACTTTTTTATCTTAAACAAATAAAGTTATCATTTGTTTATGACCACATAAAATATTCGTTTAGACGTTTTTAAATAATCGTTTAGGGAATTTAAGTAAATGAAAAAATTACAGGGTGTTCAAAAAATAGTGGACAATCCCTTAGACGTCACAAAAATAACGTCATAAGTTTACGTAATTTTTTTTGTACCCTTAGTTCTTGAAGAGTTAAGTAAGAGTTAAAAGTCGATATTTCGTTATATTTTTTTGCTATTTGTAAAATGCAGAAATATCTTTTGACCTTCATTTTCAACTTATATTTGAACATTTTTTTTTATTTTGAATAACAAGGTAGTTATTTTGCTTTGCGATATTAATGGTCCTTCTTCTAAAAAACTTACGTTAGGTGTGTACACATTAATATACAAACAGTCCTCTGACCCCTGTGGAGGGTTTCCACCTTGAATACACTGGCTCTTATCTTGGGTGGCGTTGAGTACTCCTTTCCATGCTGATTTTTTCTCTGGTGGCTAAAAATAAAAGTCCATGTGGTACAACCCTTAAAACTTTTTCGCCGGGATTTACCCTAAATCGTCGATTTCCTGTTGGTGGCTCTGCATATGGTATGCCTTGGAAGGCATAATAAACAGTTTGATCCCCAATGGTCCTGGATCGTCTTCCACGAACTGATCCGTCTCGTATTTGGATTACAGGAAAGTCTTGGCTCTAAATAATTAGACAATATTGGAATTTAGTTGCGTTAACAATAATTATATAAATTATAATTATAATATTTAGCCTACAGAATTGGAAAGAATCTTTGAGCAAAAAATCGAAGTGAGAGAACGATCAGCAGGTATATTTTTTTCATACCCTCTGAGTTGCCACAATAATACGAAGAAACATTTTTAGAACTGCTGACTTCATCGATACAGTCGCCATAGGTACACATGCTTTTCGCAAAAAGAAAACACAGTTATATGCAAAAATCTAGAGAAATAAATGACTTCACCTAAACATTTGTTCATTTAATTTTGTCAATAAACCTATTGGTTACCTAAAATTGAGCTAATTTTTTCGTGCAACACAAAAGAGGTAGATATGTCTGACGTTATTTATGACCATAAATTCACTTACTTTTATGTAGTATATAAGACGGGGATGATTCAAGAAGTTCTCAATGGGTTTAACAATGCTAATTCTACTTACAGTTCAAAAATTATCCAAGTTTTTAAACACTATATTTTGATTTACTAATATTGCTAGCTATTACTAATGCAGTATTTCTTTTAGTATTATACGCTAATATGTAGAAAAAAATTAAACAAACACCTAAATTATATTACTTGAGTAAATATATACGGGATCTTTGCAAAATAGTGGACAATATTTCAAAAGTAGCCTACTTAGCTAAAAACAAATCGATTTGGATTAATTTATTTTAGTACAATGTTGCTTTCTTAAAAATTTAAGAGGTTCCAAAAATTTTGTTCTCGAAGCATTTTTCTAAGATATACTTTTTTGTTATATTTTTTACTGGAAAATGATTTGAGAAAATGTTTTGTAAAAAGTATTTATTTGTATATAACCAAAATGCATAGTCTGAGAAAAATTTATTTCGGTTTGCTATGCAGTTACACATGAATTAATAATTTGGCTTCTTACTAAAATTGTAATAAAATTAAATATTTTATAGAATACACCTTTTTAGTAGTGCTGTATAATTTCAACTATGACAATTTGTTTCGGGTTGCCTATTTAAACCAAATCACTCCTATTCAAAGGTCTACACAAGTGATTACACTTTCAAGATATGCCATTTAGAGAATTAAAAATACTTAATTTAGTACAGTTTGAGCAAGAAAATAAATTTTTCTAAAGAATTTTATATTTTAAACATATATTTTTCCAGATACTCGTATCTGGTGTTCCGTTAGAATTTAATTAGATTAATGAAAGTATATTTATCATTTTGGAAAAACCTTAATTTAAACTAGTAAAATATTCAATATAATTTATATAATCAGAAAATAAAAAAAATATATTAATTTTATATGAATTAAAAAAAAATCGAAAAATGTATGAAGTGCAGAAGATAACAAAAAATTCTTCAGATATTTTAAGAACTTACGCTTCCTTCCGGTGCTTGCGGAAATACACCCATTATACAAAAAACACCAAAAAAACAAGCAATATGAGCCAGTTTCATTTTGCTGTACTTTAACAGAACACACTGATAATGGCATGAAGTGTGCGACTGTTTATATACATACTTCACATATTTATTATCAGTAAATAAGTTAATAATTTGCATGTATGCATTTGAATTTAATTTTCGACAAAAGCATAATATGTTGTGAATTCGAAACAGCTATAAAGTTAAGATATACAATGTCGCTAAAAACAAAGATAAGCAACTTTATTTTTTATTAGAATCTGATAAACAACAAATTGTGCAAGCTTATGATAGTAAGGATACAGGAATTTTTATATTAAAAGACAGAAAAAAACAAGATTTGTTTATTTGTCATGTAAGGCTGCCTTTTCGGTAATGGACGATTGTAAAGTTAGACTTTATGTCGATATACTTACTTAGATCGTTTTGCCGTACAGGCGCTATTTGTTTTGTTTACAGCGACTTAAAAAATTAATCTCTGTCAAAAAAATGGAATTGTCATAAAAAAAATAAAGCCACATACGACCTCGTATGTCAAAGTTAAGTTCACACGTCAAACTGTTAGTCAATAATAAAAAAAACTTGTAGGAATTGTATTAGATGGAAACATTGATACGAATTTATACAAGACACTTCTTACCTGTTACACCCTGTATATATATGCTTGCGTTCACATCTTCGAGACTATCGTAGAATTAGCCAAAATTATGCAAATAACATCGGCAATATCAGTACGGCATACATTATGTTATTTTTAAAATGTGGTAGACACTTACAACTGTCTAATTCTCATCGGTTTCATATAACTCACATGCAGGTTGTCTAATAAAAGGGGTGTACGACCGACAAAAATTTCTAAACCGTGATTTGTTTCGACTAATCTTAGACTTGAATAAAACATCAGCTTTGAAATTGCTCCTTGCTGTGAGCTATCAAGTACGATGGATTTTCTGTGGGCGTGAAAAAATTTGCGCTTTCAAATTGAAGGAAACAATAAAATGTGTTTTGAATAGAACAATGACCCTATGGTAAAATAATTTTGCTACAAATCTCAAACAAAATTATGGATAGAACATTTCATCATAAAATCTTTTGAATGAATTGACTTCCAGGATTTGTAGATTCATGTTACCAAAACCAAGCATTGATATTTGGACGATGTAAGATTGATTTGACTTAAGATGACGAAAGAATTAATTATTTCTTTCGCATCTTTATTAAATTTTTGCAGAGGGTAATTTATGAGCATTTTTATGATTTGAAAGCGTGGAATTTTATAGGGTCGAGCACCCACTGATCCTAATTACCATATTTTAATATTTATGTGCGCGAGAATAGCTGTCGAATTTTATACCTAAATCACCTTATGAAAATTTTCAGCCAATGAGCATATCGTGGTACGTACAATAAGAAGATTAAGTATTAAACTTTGGTGTGACGGAAACTAATCTTTTATACCGGGTGTTTCAGAGTTGAGGTGACAAAAGCCTAGGGGAGACTCCGCTCAGCTAAATATGTAAAAAGTTCATATGATCAGGGGTTCGCAAGTGCTTCTGAGGTACAAGCTGTTACTTTCATCCAACACTTGTATATAATGCTACTATAATTTCTTTGGTTTTAAAGGAATAATGTGGCCTATAAGTCACTAGTGATTTATAAGTCCTAAGTCACTAGTAAGTTATGATTCTTTGTCGTATATAGATTTTGATTTCTCCGGAATGATGCCTGCAGTAGCCGCATTAGCTTTTTCTAAAATTTCAGATGGAATTTCCACATTTTCCATTTTTTCAGTCTTGGTTATAGGATTTCAACTCAACAAATATTGTTTTTCTTCAAGCGTATAATAATACTTATATTATATAGTGCAACACCTCCTTTAGAAGCAGCCTATTGTTTAACTAGTACAAATATTTATCATTTTTTAACTAGTAAAAAAATGTAACAATGTGTAGGTAAGTATCCTAGCAACGAATTAAAGATTCAAGAAGCTTTGACGTTTCATTAAGTGTCAGTTGAAATTTGATGTCGCGTCGGGTCGTTTTTAAAATGTCTGAAGAAATGCAGTGCACACCACCAGAATTACTGGAAATTGCAAATACATCAGTGGCAACACTTATACCAACAAAGTCGAGAAAAATTTATGAAAATGCTTATGATAAATTCATAAATTGGGCAAAAGAAAATAATGCACATATTTATTCAGAAAATGTGATGATAGCATATTTTACAAGATTATCCAGAACACTGAAAAGTTCAACTTTATGGGCGCAATATTCAATGGTAAAATCTAAATTAAACATAGAACACAATGTAAATATTGAGAAATATTCAAAATTAATTACATTTTTGAAACGACAAGGTGAAAATTATAAACCAAAAAAGTCGAAAGTTTTGTCTAAAAAAGAATTTGACGAATTCCTGAATAAAGCACCTGATGATAAATATTTAGCAACCAAGGTATGTACTTTTTAAATTATAGGTAGATATATATTTAACCTTTTTATATTTGTAATACAAAATTTTGTTATAATTTGTAAACTTCAAGTTATTTTATAGTATCCATTACGAGAATAATAAACAATTTTCGGAAATAAAGATAGCTCATTGGAAGAATGTTGTAAAAACTCATAAATATAGATGTCTTAAAATTACGTCATGTTTTAGAATTTCCTTGCATTTTCCAACTTTTTTTATTGTTACAAAATTAATAATTCTATATTTTTTAGGTTGCACTAATATTTGGAGTCACAGGAGCTTGTAGATGCGATGAACTCATTCAAGTAAAAGTTAATGATGTAAAAGATTTGGGAAATATAATATTAGTAAATATTCCCAATACAAAAACTAAAAAACATCGTTCATTTACCATAATTGGAGAGTTTTATTTAAATTTATACAGAAAATATGCTACTCTTCGGCCAAAAGACATAACTTTTGATAGATTTTTTATTAAATATCAAAATGGCCATTGTCATCGTGTTGTAATGGGCATACATAAAATTTCAAAAGTGCCAAAAGATGTTGCATCATTTTTAAGGTTGCCAAATCCACATGAATATACGGGGCATTGCCTTAGAAGAACCTCGGCAACTATCTTAGTTGATAATGGTGGAGACATTACAACCCTAAAGCGACATGGTGGATGGAAATCTACCAGCGTCGCTGAAGGATACATTGAAGATTCTGTAAACAATAAGAAACAGATAGCGATGAAAATATTAAACCCATTAGAGTATAATGAACCAAGTACATCAAGCGAAACTGTAAATATTGATCCTGAAAATAATTTAATCGAAGACTTTTCTGTTAATAATGGTACAATTGTTAACACTGAAACTGAGAACCTTATTACAAGTAACGTATTCAACGACAGAACTGTAAACTTTGAAAAAAAGACAGCCAGCAGCGCTTTAAATATCAACAACTGTACCATACAAAATTGCACATTTAATATTCATGTTAATAAATAAAGTTTGATGATAGACATGTAGGTAATTTAGATGTTTATTCGTTTAATTCAAATTAAAGAAAAATAATTGTTACATTTGTTTTTTTATTCATGAATAAAGTGGTTAAAACTGTCATGTTTAATTAATCAATAAAATGTATAAAATGTATAAAATAAATAGTATTACCTACCTACTGATTTTATTTTGTGCTGAGATTGAACATCGCGTTATCCGCTATAAATTTTCAAAATTAGTAATTTTTTATATTCACGCTTGAAGAAAAAATAGTATATGTCACTCGGAGTGGAAGGCTCATTATGTGTTTTGCCCAATTTGCTCAGCCTCGGCTAACGCCTCGGCGAGCAAACTTTTGGGCTCAACACATAATGATCGCCTTCTACTCCTAGTAACATAATATACTATTGTTTACTGACAATCCGTAGTTACAGACATAATTTAGGTTGACACTCGCATCCTTTGTAATATTTAAAAATACATTCATTTCGTTAAATTACTTTTTCTGACATTGACAACTTGAAAATTTAAGTTACTTTTATTTATTATTAAAACGAAATTCTATGAAAGTGTTGGATAAAACTTTGTATGGCACTCGTGTGTTATGTCTTATAAGTCACTTGGGAAATTGTTTTTTGGGAAACATTTCCCAGCGTGACATATATACCATAACAAACTAGTACCATAAATAACTATTATTCCCCTAGCAGACATATTAATATTTATAGTAAGTAATAAAAAGTGCAACTATTCACATTGCAATTTTACATAGCTGAATTATTTAAATAATATATTATTTTTTACATTCACTATTTTGACGCAGGTACACGCTTTACATTTAATCTAATTATTTTTTATTTGACTGGGTGAAAGAAAACTTTTTCGAGTAAAAAGTAGGTTTTCGTATTTGTTCATAAATGGCTGGAAAATATGAGCAAAAAATTTAAGGGGCCACTAAACTCACAAAACAACACTTCATTACCAATAATAATCGCTTTTCAGAAAATACTGACTCAGAAACTGTGAAAGAAAGCAATGAAAAACCTTTAATCAGTCCTGGTATAAAATTATGAAAAGTTGATATTGAACATTATAATTCTCGGGTGACGACTTAGGGAACGTAATTAAAATGTCAACTTTTTTTAACAGCTTTCAAAAAGAGAACCTTGAGGTTATGTAACTTTAATCATATTGAACTTGAGCCATTGTGCGAATGGAATCATCCCAGAAATATTTTGCTCGTGTTGGTCTATTTTCCAAATCTACTACGTTTGTTAAATCATTCAGATGAAAATATAAAACAGCACGGAAATATCTATTCATGATTGCATAATCGATCCCATAAGCAAACGTAACTGCTAATCAAGTAATACGAGTATGTATGTGTACTGAATGCAAGCAAAATGCTTGGCGGGCAATATCGAACAATAACAATTACTGGAAACAGTGGAAACCCCTGAAATCACCCAATGCCAATACACCTCTAATTTTGCAACGCTGTGCACAATCCAAGCGGAAGAAGGTTGCACTAGGCATATTGCAGTGATCTGTTACAGTTGTTTACGTAGCAAGGTACAAACTTCACATACGTAAAATTTTTTCAC